AGAATTCCTAATATTTCATTTTGGTTTCAGCAAAAACTGACGTTTGGATCATTGGTTCATCTTTGGTAAAACGGGCATCTCAACACATACAAACTAAAGCAACTGGCATTGATCTGGGTCTGGATAAACTTGGATACTCTATTGTTTGAATTGGTCATTCAGGAATGTTATGGCATATGGTTCCTTCAATTATACCCGCATTGTCGATTTTGAGAGGATAACCTTATATAATTCTTATTCATGGTGATGGTAATGATTTGTGTAACATACAACATAGAAAACTTTATACAATATCTAGAACACTTTACATCATTTAATATCAACGTTACCAATGACAACAGTCATTTGTACATACATTTTACCAAGGCGAGTTTGGAGGAATGCTAGAATAACAAGAGGCTCTCAAAAGCCTGAATGGCTCACCTGTATTTCAGAGGAGAAGATTTTTAAATGTTAGTAAACTTGATGAACAAATTGTGTAAAATTGTCTTTAAAGGGCAATAACTCCTCAAGGGGTCAATTGAAAATTTTGGTCTTAATAACTTTTTTGTAGATCTAACTTTGCTGAACATTATTGCTGCTTACAGTTTATATATATCTATAATAATATTCAACATAATAACAAAAAACTGCAAAATTTTGTTAAAACTACCAATTCGGTGGCAGCAACCCAACAGTGGGTTGTTCGATTCGTCTGATAATTTCAGGGTCGATAGATCTTGACCAATTAAACAATTTTACCCCATGTCACATTTGCTCTAAATGATTTAGTTTTTGAGATATAAGCCAAAAACTGCATTTGACCTCTACGTTCTATCTTTAGCCATGGCGGCCATGTTTGTCAATGGATACAAACTTCGGATACAATTTATAAACATGATACCCTAAGGAACATTTAGTTAAAGTTTGATGGTAATTGGCCCAGTAGTTTCAGAGGAGAAGATTTTTAAATGTTAGCAAACTTGATGAACAAATTGTGTAAAATTGTCTTTAAAGGGCAATAACTCCTCAAGGGGTCAATTGAAAATTTTGGTCTTAATAACTTTTTTGTAGATCTAACTTTGCTGAACATTATTGCTGCTTACAGTTTATATATATCTATAATAATATTCAAAATAATAACAAAAAACTGCAAAATTGTGTTAAAACTACCAATTCGGTGGCAGCAACCCAACAATGGGTTGTTTGATTCGTCTGAACATTTCAGAGCTGATAGATCTTGACCAATTTAACAATTTTACCCTTGTCAGATTTGCTCTAAAAGCTTTAGTTTTTGAGATATAAGCCAAAAACTGCATTTGACCACTATGTTCTATTTTTAGCCATGGCGGCCATGTTTGTCGATGGATCAAAACTTCGGATACAATTTATAAACTAGATACCCTTAGAAACATTTAGTAAAAGTTTGAAGGTATTTGGCCCAGTAGTTTCAGAGGAGAAGATTTTTGTAATAGTTTACGACGACAGACGACGACAGACGACGACGACGACAGACGACGGACGACGACGGACGCCAAGTGATGGCATAAGCTCACATGGGGCCCTACGGGCCCCGGTGAGCTATAAAGGCAACAGAACGGTCTAGAGCTCCTTTGAAAAGGGTGGTTAGATCTTACATACACAAAATTGGGTTCAAGGCAATCAAACATGTTAATTTTGATGATATGCATCCAACTCTTTTCGCCGATGATGGCGTTCACCTGTCATATATTGGAAATGATATTTTCATCAATGCTATTCAGTCAGAATAAGAGCTGTTTATTAAATATCCAAGCAGATTTCTATATCCCGATGAACTTTGAAACATTTATTCAAAGTTGTAAGCCATCATGTATTAGCTTATGAAATTTAAATCAGTTGTATTTTTAGCTGAATAAGTTATTCAGTTGTTAAAAACATGCATTTACACGTAGTTGAAAAGTTCTATTGAATATAGAACAATTTTATTGTTGAGTTGTAACTGCATAGTTGAATAAATGTTGAGTTGTACACGTTGTTCATAGTTGTACTGTTGTATAGTATAGATGATATACTCCGTTGAACTGATATAGTTGAGTTGAACACCTATTTAATTTCAGAATTTGTTTTTTGTGATATAATTTTTTGTCATGGATTTATATATTTTGTTTGACTATGCTATCAAACGATGTTTACTAGTATTTGGCTGAATTTATCACAGTTGCCGTCTGGTAGCCTAGTTGCCATTTTGAGAAAACATATGCTGGTTGCCCTTCAATGTTTTCATCTTGGACATTAATGAGACATTATCGATGAATGCAAATTCGTTTGCCGGTTGATGTATAGTTGAACTGTCCTTATAAATCCATTACAAAAATTTCAAAATTCAAACTTGCTTTTTGTTGTTTTTTATTACGATTATTGGATAGTTTGTCTTACAATTTGTTTATAACGAAGATAATCTGGAATCGTTGGAAATATTACGAGTGATTTCAATGAATTTGAGTTATCTTTTATACATGTATATCGAATCGCTAAATTTACATCTGTTGGTTTTTTTTCGAATATTTAATAAAAAAGATTATATTATTAAGCATTAAATCAATTTGATAAACTGAGAAAATCGTCTGCTAAACAAGAGTTAACTTTTCTTTAATTTATAATGACATGAGCGTCTTACTTTTTCATAATTTCATAAGCGGCTTTCCCGCTTTTATTTGATATAAAATTGCATGCTTTTCATGATTTGTTCATTGCGTGATTTGAACTGAAGGAACACAAAAATTCACCCTATCCCACCCCTGAGAATATTTTTCTACTGTCTGTTGTATATTTTCAGATATTGACAAATAAGCGTCATAGATTGGACAGAATTTAAACTGAATATATTGTTTTTGCTGAATGGTTGAATTTATCACAGTTGGCGTCTGGTAGCCTAGTTGTCATTTTGAGAAAACATATGCTGGTTGCACTTCAATGTGTTCATCTTGGACATTAATGAGACATTGTCGATGAATGCAAATACGTTGGCCGGTTGATATATAGTTGAACTGTCCTAATAAATCAAGGACAAAAAATTGCCAAAAATTCTGTTTTATGATTTTTAGATAGTTTGTCTTACATTTTGTCTATAACGAAGGTAATCTGGAATCGTTGAAAATATTACGAGTGATTTCAATGATTTGGGTTATCTTTTATACATGTACATCGAATCGCTAAATTTACATCTGTTTGTTTTTTTCGAATGTTTAATAACGTTGACCGGCAAACAATCATACATTTTATAGAAAAGTAGCAATAACAAGGTTATGATGTATACTGATATGAGTGTAAACTATTGCCCTTGAATAAACTACCAAATCAAAATGACGATATATTGAAATAAAATGACATTAAAGACATGTCATTGAGCAGCCTTGACGATTTAGTTCGGTAATGGATATATATTACTCTGAACCAATTGCAAATCATAATAGGAACAGTTAAACTTTAGCAATATTGTCCAATATCTACCCTGTAGTAATATCAAATCATATTCATTAACAGCAACCTTGTGTATGGATTAAGATAACAGTAATGTGACGAAAAGAATAATGCGTCTACAATGCACTATATAGAAAACTTGAAACGGAGCAAAACGATTTCTTATACAGACCACGGTCAAACACAATAAGAGTAAGCTATTCTTGTTCCACGTGACATATTGCTCATGCAAGTACAAATCCGGTGATACATCTCTTTTGGTGATGTCACAATCTACGAAAAATGGACAGAGTCGTGGGTACGACTATTGGAACATCTGTGTTCATCCAATTCGTGATAGATTCCGTCAATCATTTGGAAGAATAACTTTCCTACTGTAAACGTTTGGTTCAATAGCCGCATTTGCTTTATATCACTGAAACAATTGTAGGAAAAGTAAGCTTAACAACTGGGAGATATATTCGTTAGGCGCTGCTGGAATAATGCTTTATATAATTGGAAAGTTTACAATAGGGTAGCTGAAATCATCAAATTATTTTGTTTTCAACCGTCCCGCACTTTCAATATCTATATGGAAGTCAAGATATAAGTCAGACTTAACTGCATGTAATATATTTATTTCAAGTTTGATGGAATAGATCCGTTCAGCATAGTCAACAAACTAATTATTTAGTGAGAGGAAATTAAATAAGTAACGGAACGTAAAGTGAATGCATTATCGTAGCTTATTTTCGTTCTTCACGAAAAGCTCATGTTTGAAGTGTACCTCTTCTGAATAAAAGACCATGGCATCAGAAAGACATTTTGTCTCTTCATGAGTTCTTGTTGATTATTGTAAAATAGACTTTAAAATGTTATACATATGTTTTTAAAAAAATCAAGTATGTTGGTGATGGGAAAATAATTATAATGTGTGTTTCTCTAACAGATCACACATCCTCAAGTTGATGTAAGTAATTATATGTCACTTTACAGTCTGCCACACTAAATAACATTCATTCCGTAAAACAAGCTTTAAAACGAATCAGCATGTAAACAAATTTGATTGAGAAAACCAATAACATGGTCTAGTAATAATTCAAGCTATAATGCAAACCGATCTCTTCAATGTGATAGGTTTCAGGCGCGGATCCAGCAATTTTTAAAAGGGGATGGGGATTATAATTTCCGAAACCTTCACAAAAAAAATAAAATAAAGAAAAAATAAAATGTAGGAGGAAAAGGGGGGTCTAACCGCGGGAACACCCCCTTTATCTGCCAATTGGTTTGCTTTTGTGTACTTTGTTCCTCGTACGACAACTGTTTTTGAAAGTCAATTTCAGAACGGGTAGAATTATAATTTTGCCTATAAGCAACTAGCTATCGCTAAGACGAGGAATAGAGCTATCAATATACTATATTTTAGAGGAGCTTTAGTAGAAATGTGACAAAACACACTATGTCAGGAACTGAACGGTTGCATTCATAGTGTGATCCGCTAAAAATGAAAGTTTAATGTAATAATAAATAATAAATATTACTTATAGTCAGAAAAGCTTGAATACAAAACATTTACTCACGTTGGGCTGAAACAGTCAATTGAAAAGTTGTGTGGATCAGTATCACTAAAAACATTTTAACAGTTTTTATATCCAGCAGGTACAATCGGAACTTGTCCCTGTAAAGTAATAAAAATTAACGATACAAACGATGACAGAATAACGGTAGCTACGTGAACAATATATTGAAGAGCTGTACGTATATTGTACTAATGCAAAACCTAATTTTTAGCGTATGATAACCTTTTACTATAAACGGGGAAAATGTGTATGATAACAAATCCAATAAACGATGCATCGTGTATGAAAATTCCCCCATTATTCTACACTAGAAAGACCATATTCTGTTCTCATCATTTGCGATATTTGAACATTTAGATATTAGAAAATTTCTTATTTCAGGTTCAATTTGATACGCAATTTTTCTACTTTATATGCATACCTTCATTATATAGTGCAATAATGTACTTCGTGGTTAGGAACGACGATTTGTCTAAATAAGACTAATGCTATTCCAATAGTATACATAATATTGGGTTCTTTTTTTTATTGACTAGCAATTTTCAATAAATTAGTAATACTGTGGATTCAATCATTTTCATGGGTACCAATTTATCGTGGATATTTGATTTTGTGGTTAGTAAAAGTCTTTATACAAACCTTTAAGAAATTGGAATTCGCTGGTACCTACAAAATCAAAGAAATCAACGAAAACTTGTCAAGGGAACACTCAAAGTTCATAAGCTTATAGAAACTTTTAACGCAATTACAAAATCCGGAAACCAACAAAAAGACAATAATGTCCACAAAACACTACATATAAAAGTAAAGACACTTTACCAACCAACAACTTCGGTGGTTTTATGAAGGATTAACAGATCCTGCCAATTTGTTTATTGAAAGGCTGTTGATGCACAAATACATTATAATTTTCTTTTAACATTATCTTATAAAATGAAGAAAAGGGTAGTTTGTCTCCTGTCAAATTTAGATTTCTAACATGTGAGTAGGAAGTTATCAATCAAAACCGAAAGTCCATCGGATATGTTTTTCAGGTAAAATAAAATCAATTACTAGGTTACGGATGTTTTTCAAATATGAACATAGCACTTCTGGAATTTTCATATGAGAACCATAGATGCAATTAACAATTACAATCGACACTTGTTTGATTGACTGTTTTTTTACTGCAACCATTTCAGTAACCACCAAAATATTTAATTGGGAATTAAGAATCCGCGAAAATAAAAACCGCCAAAATTTTACGCACACTTTGTTGCCCCTAAATCGCGAAATTTGACACCCGCGAAAAAAAAGCCCGCTATACGGTATTTTGACTGCATACACCATCCGATCAATAAGCTAATAAGCATTAGTTGATATTTAGAATATATGAATCTTTTTAAACTTGAAGGGTGCCTAAAAGTCGAAGACAATCCTTTATTTCAATCAATAATAATGATTATTTAGTTATATTTTATATAAAATATGCAAAAGAGTTATTTCAAAGCGTTAACTTTATAATCTCTTTACTTAAACCTGATGAAGTAAGAGAATGCTGTCCAACTTGAAGATTCCCGAAAAGTAATGATACCACGCATCACGATGCTCTTGTATTAGTTTTTATTATAATACAGTTAGGGTGCATTATCTAACACATAAACACCAAAGCATTCTAAACATTTATTTTGATTTTACAACAAAGTATTTCTTTGTTTGAATATGCTGTATTTTGAATTAAGTTTATTGCGTTACGTAATTACTATAACTGGGTTGTTAGTACATAATAAATGAAGACATACCTTTCATCGGATGAATCATCGTATAATAAAAAATAAACTGAACACACATTTTATGAGTTCCAAGTAATCTGACTAATCTAAAATAAGGACACAATTTCACTTTTACCAGTCAAGCATATGAAGTGTTATCCGATGTTTCATATAACATGAATATATAATTTTTTGAATTAATATTTTACAGTGGACTTTTTGTAAAGTTTAAAAACATGTAATGTGTTCTCAGTTGAATATTATTTTTCGTAGAATTTAAATGAAATACTGGATAAGAATATATTTTCTCAACCCAAAAAAAAAAACATTCATCAATACGATATGCTCATACATATGTAAAGGAATATACAATCCTGCATCTTCTTACACATCAACATTGAGTCATTTTTCATATCAATTTTGATTTTACTATGAGGAAGTTTTTGTTTTAAATATGCATAATCATAAATGCAATTTTTTCTATTTATGGTTAAAATGACAAATGGTTATTTAGTACATTGTGAAAGTTGACTTCCATCCGATAAATCATCATATAATTAAAAAAAACTTTATCAACACTTTATATACTAATCCAAATCACTTAAACTAATGACCTATAATCAACTATACTATTCATGCATACACCTGTAGTCTAATATTGCAATGTGAATATATGAATAAATTATGATAATTACAACAGAATGATCACAGTGTAATGTACGCTTTGTTTATGTCACACACATGTTGTTTTTGTTAATTTTGAAGAAGTACGGGGTAGGAAATAGGGGTATGAAATAAATTGTGAAGAGTTGATTAAAATTATAAACCCTTTTCTTTCAAGAAAAACACTCAAAAATAAGCGTACATTGATGTCTGTGAAATCTACAAAACGTATATAGTAATTTGATTATTTCTAGCACAACCATAAACCGTATGACGATATATTGTAAATACACCCATCATAGATACCAGGATTAAAATTTTGTACGCTAGACGCGCGTTTTGTCAACAAAAGACTCATCAGTGACGCTCGAATAAAAACAAGGTAATTTTAGATTTTGGATAACATACGTATGTTTTCTTGCTTAGGGCAAGTTAGTTTCCTTTAACAAATTAACATAAGAATATGTTAATATACTTGGTAGATGTATTGTTTAGGTCTCATTTCCTACTATACCTGATAATTATTATAGTTTGAAATCATGTATTTATTCACCGTTGAATTTCGATTTCTTTTTCTGACACACCAAAGGATTATAGCCAGTAACCCTTATGCAAACGTAAAGATTTATTTTTTAAAGGTGGTAGATCCTATCACCCATTTCTTCATAAAAACAACATACATGAATATGCCGTTCGATGCTCGTACATTTTTAAAGAATTTACAAATTTGCATTCTCCAACAAATTAACATTGCCTCATTTCTCATACTTATTTCGATTGTACAATAATGAAATGTTTTCTCTGAATATGATTACTTATTGATACTAGTTTCATATATATCGTAAAAAAAGTTAAATGGTTATTCAGTACATTGTAATAGGGACATACCTTCATTCGAATGAATCATCAGTTTATTGAAAACAATGGACAATATGTTTCCTGCCTTGGAAAGTCATTTCAAAACACCTAACTCCTATCTCCTAATCTTGGATAGTGGTGAAATAAAGATACAATGCGATAAAAATTGATCAATTTCATGAAAATTACTTGAGTCATTCGAAAGATATTAAGTACAAAATCAACAAACAAAAAATAGCATAAGACTCATAGTTATGACAGAAGAGCACTCGCATTTGCTGGGTGTTGATTCAAAGTTCAATGGAAGGTATATTGTATTAAAAACAAACATATTTTCAGAGGCTTAAGTGTGAATTGGTACAACTCCAACGGATTCAGTTAACACACATTGTAATCTATGTGATAAAGTTTTCGTAAGCAGAGCCAACATATTGAGTTGAATTGACAGCGGTAAGAGTTATATATGTGTCTACAGCGATAACGGATATACATTTTCATACAAGTTTTCATAGCAACAGTCACCTTCTCATTTTCTCTGTAACATTTACTATTCTAGAAAATAATGTATAAAGTACTGAAATGAGCGGGCATCATCCGTTTATTCATAAGTCATTAATGGATGCGATTTATCCTCGGACTTTTAACGAGCAACAAGAATGTTGCAACTATTTACACATGAAGTGATTATCATTTACAAGCTAGGATAAAAATGCATGCCTGCTTTTTCATTTGGCGCCCTGAAATTCATCCTTTGCGTTTTTGTCATTGTTTCGAGGACTTTTATTTGGCTTTTTGTCTTTTGTCTCTTGGCTCTGTTGGATCCGTACGATTCTAAATTGAATGTTTGGTATCGCTGAAAATGTTTCTTTTCCTACAATTATTAGATATGAATAAGTCAGCTAGTGCAATACATGTACAACATGTTATTTTGAGTAGTTCTTACCACCAAAGGCTTGATGAACTGTAATACTAGTAGGTCCAAAGACAATAGAATAGATATCCCATGTCACGCTTACATCTTTTCATCTGTTAATACCAGTTTACATGATTGTTTTCACAAAGGTTGTGTATGATTTTTCTAATAAAAGCTAGTTTATATTATACCTATTTTTGTGATATTACAGGATGCCATTTAACTCAAAGATTATAAAACAAATATTGAATATACAAATAAAACAAACATAAACTGTCTTGACATATGAACATGACGAAGGTGCTACAAACAAGATTATTATGGTCCAATTAAGCTCATTTAATGCAATTAACTACTTACAAATATAAAACATTTTTGTTAGCCAAAAACAAGAAGAACGCTTCTACAATTAATGATTATCATTACACACAATGGTATGAACTAATGTTTTTTTTCTGTATCAAGTTGTACTTCTTATAATGTAAACACAATTCAAATTTCCATAGCTGACCATATACAGGTATAAAATTATATCTGCGTAAAATTAACTTTAAGTGAATGTTTTTCTAAACAATAAGCATACAATTATGACAATAACAGTCACATATCTCTATGAAGAGATTAACTGAGAACAAGTTATCTAAAAATTCCTATAGAAACTGGCAGATGGTACAACATGGCTAGAACCGATTTATATACGTGATGTAATGAATGTGTTGGTGATGAATATTATTATTCATATGTATGTAATAATACTACTATCACTGAACTTCTGAAGAAATATATTCCGAAATAATATATAACATACCCATCTGAACTGAAAATGCAAAAGATGCTGTCATTATGTTACTGTCAGTTATTGCATACTTTATCTATATTTATCAAGAAACCAACTTTGTAATTTGTCCTCATGTTTCACATATTTTGTGTTTGAGTTTAAATAAAGAATTGAATCGAAGATTTAATGAAAGTACATAATCTATATGAAATGTTATTTCGATTATAATACATTAACAAACTAATGCTTTGTATATATCCAAACCCATACATACCGTCAAAAGAAAAGAAACTACAACAGTGAATGCAAATACATGTACATTTACGTTATATGTATATATATATATACATTACGAGTTAATCCCGAAACTTTATACACGTATTTTTAGAAATATTAAAAAGCTAATATATCAAAGCACCAAACCTTTAAAGCGCAAAAGCTTGAAGTTATTATTTCCGTAAAATAAAAAAAGGTAATGGCATTGCACAAGATATACGTTATATAATATGTTAGGTGGACGTTAAGGAAACAACAAACAACTGATACAAATAATCAAAATAAATGTTTGTAGTTATTTCACTCTAAAGTCTAGTTTAAAAACGGTATATATGTACATGTATATATATGTTTGACATCACCATATTAACTAGTTTGCAATTACCTTTACCCTTTATCAATCGGGTGCTTATTGTTTTTTACATGCAGTTTTTACCCTTGAGTCCAATTAAACTAGAATCTTGAGTGAAGTAGCTACAGTTAAATAAAATATAAACAGTTGAATTGAAACGTATACACAGTATGCACAGTTAAAATTGACCTAAGAATAAAACAACTGTAGCTAAACTCAATACGCAGTTCAATGTAAAAAATAAGCAGCACTAACATTTGAAGTGGACCTTTTGGCTTAATTAGAAACATGCAAAAGCAATAAACAGTTGCGTTCAAATGCTAAAGATTGTCTACCCCATGAATAGATTACCTTAGCTGTAATACGCAAAACACGTTGGTTCTCAATGCTCTCAAACTTCGGACTTTCTTGGCCTTTTTAATTGTGTTTGAATCAAACGTCACAGATGAGTATCGTGTAGACAAATTGCGCGTCTGGCGTACAAAATTTCAAGCCTGGTATCTATGATGAGTTTAGTGTAAAGTGTAATTAAAGTTTCAATAGCAGTTTCCGCTGATTTTATCAAGTCCTCATGAAAACATGTTGACTATTTGATTGGTTTCGTAGAAGTTGACACTATGTGATTGATCAAATATAAAGCAGACATTTTTTATGATATTCATATGTTTCTAAAATTTGACATATTCAGCGTATGTTTGAAACAAAAATATTAAAAAGACGTACTTACATTTGCTACAATTACAAATCTGCGTTACCCATCCTGTAACACATCCTTCAGTACAAACACCTGTTTGTATATCCCATTTGTTATTTATACATTTCTGTTCGTCACATCCCCAAACACAGGAACCATTTTCAGGATGACAGTGTTGGCCTATACATATGGATGAACATGATTTGGAACAGTTTGTTCCCCACATACCATTCAGACAACCTACAATAAATGTTTGAAAGGATTGAACTTATAAGTATCCTTATAAAGTATGAAACTCCTTTCGTGAAAACAGCTTAATTCCAGACATAAATGTTATCAAAAGTAAAATATCTGTATAGTCTTTCCTAGATTTCTTTAATTCAAAACATCAAATAAGATTAGAAAAGGAACATGTTTTGATTATTAAGCCAACAATATCAAGAGAAAGATTTGAAGGTTTTTAATTCTCATGTATAGACAATACGAAGATTTGACACATACAACATGAACAATTGTTACGGACATTTGAATTCATAGAAAAACATGCTGACCAAGTCGATCCACCTGATGAAACTCTATATCGAATAAAAATGGATGAGAAAGAGATAGGAATCTATTAAAAGTGGGACCTTTGAGAATATGTTCACCATTTGAATAATTATTATTATATATAAAAGTTGATATTTGGGTTATTTGTAAAATGATTGTATAGTACTAGGTCATACGTATGGTGGCCTAAAGTTATTAAGTTCATTGAAAATCCAGTGCCCTGTCTTAAAGAAAATCAAAATGAGGAAAAGCAGACACATACATTGAAATAGCAATGCTTGGAGTCTATGAAGGCACAGGTCGAATAATATAAAGTGAGAAACCTTCTTCTCTAAAGCTCTGTTCAATTTTTTCAACGACATCGTCTTGAAAAGGAATCCAATTTTCCAACGCTTACAAACAAAAATCATAAGATCGAAGTATAGTGGTCCAACCTTAAGTGAAATAGTTGTGTTCCAATAATTAACATGAATAAGATACAATTCAATTCTATCAATGCACTATCTACACATTTTCCGCTATTTGTATACGAAGAAATATTTAACTAGTCAACTTTAAATGACATTTCTGCTCGTTCCGAATTGTATCCTAATTTAATGATACGGTTTAAAAAAAAAAGAATTATCAAACAACAGCACTGACCCAAGACATTGTAAATATATTACACAAAGAAATTAAGAAAAAATGTCAAGGCATACACACGATCATACTAGTGGAAGTGTATTCGTTAAAATTAATCAGACTTATTTTTTATCGAGCGTAAACAGGATCTGAAGCCCATGTCAACATAACACGAACCAGTAGCAAATATCAATAAAATGTTTACAATAATTTTTTCACTTAGGAAAAAAATTTTAAGGCTTTGAAACACAAACTAATTAGAAGTAGCGTGTATTGATCATTCAACATGTTTATTTAATGACGCTGTTAAAGAATGTTGTCGTTGTTATTACATGTATATCCGACCCTCCCCCTACCCACCTCACCCTAATAAACGTCTTAAGATGTGTGCTACAAGGTATTGATTTATTGTACTATTCTCTTGTTTTAAATTCTGATTGGACACTTGTTTTTTTTATTAGAAAGACGATACAACCCTTAAATTAGAAATCAAAAGATACATGATAGGTACAAATACAGGAGAAAGTATGATAAAGTCTCTTTTTTTACCTCTTTATTTTGAATATGAAAAAGTATTATAAATCTACACAAATCATTCTTCAAATATTCATAAGACTTAATCTGTATTTATGTTTATGAATTTTGTCTTATAGATTGCTAAAACTTCTTACTAAGTATACTACAGCAAACACTACAGCAAACACTGCCAACGTAGCCTTATTTTGAGATCTTGGCATTAATATGAGCAACAGCATTACCCAAAAAGATATTTTGCTACAAAATGCGTTTAACCTAGACGATAATGTGTGAAAATGTTTTTTTGGGATAGAGCTGTTGCTCATATATATTTTGACCAAAAAGTATGTGCGAATGGCCAATTAAAGTCAATACGGAAATTTCGTCAAGTTAACATTACCATTTAGCACTAAAGTGTCCAGATTATAATAACTTGTTCATTTATCAAAAATAAATTGTTATATTTTGAAAGTCTTGAATAAGATTACTAATTCCAGGGGCCAAAACATAGCTCATATCATACCTCCTCCTTCATAGCAAATAAGTTGATAAACTGTAAAGGAAAAAAATCTATTGCAAAATTGATTGATATACTTCACAATTTTTCACAAAAAAAATTAATTGATATCTTTTATCAGTCTGTTTTGTCAAGGTGTTTCATCTAGTTTCGCAAAAGGGTATGCTTTGTTTTTTTATACTTAACGCTTGATATTTCCTGCAAAAGGGCATACGATGCTGTTTAAGTTCAAATATCACATAAACGTCTGATGACAAGAAGGGCTATATTTATATGACTGTTTTTTTTTTGTTTTGACAAATATCAATGAAACCTAGTGAACAAATAAAATACCAAAAAAATTTAAAACATAAAACGGAAGTTCCAAAAAATTATTTAAAGTACAGCAGTTTACACCAATCTCCAACACCCGAATCCTGCGGAAAAAACCAGACATATTAAAAAACTCACACAAACAACAAAGAGACCAATAGTGTACTTATAGCTGTAATTATTGGCTGTCGTTGGTTACTGCCTCTAATATTTGTTTTTCGGGTTTTTTTTTGGCGCATACATGATGCTGTTAATTTTGTCGTTTGAATTGTTTAGCGTTTTGTCATGTCAAATCCTTTGACTGCTTACTTTACGATATATATAGTGTAACTCACTTGTAACGACCGTACGGTGAACTATAGTTGCTTATATCCACGCCCTGATGTTTCTTGTAAACAAATGTCTCATTCAAAATCATACTAAATCCCGTTATGTTTTGTATTGGTGGCTTCGTTCTTTATTCAGGCTTAGTTTTCTTTTGTTTAATCAGTTCTATTATACATTCGTCAATTTGCGATGTATGTGCTGAAAGTATGGTCTTTTCATTAATGTTAAAAGTCAAAATATTTTTGGACACTCGATATACAGATAAACGTAGCTATAACAACCAAACACAACTAAATATTGATGTAAAACATCTTTAAAGACAGTGATGCGCATTGGAAAGAATACAATGCACAGACATACATTACCAACCATTAATGGCAACATAACACAATTCAATCACAGGTCCGGATGCTGTGTCTCCTTTAGTATCATAATATATGACGTATTGTCCAAGTTGATTACATGGAATTGTCTGAGTGAGGTTTGGAAGACCGGGACCAGGATCTTCATAACAGAGATAACCTATAGGTGGAATAGTTGATGTATTGGTCACATATAATTTAAATCCATCCATTCGATAAGCAACTGTAATAGAAAAAAACTGTATTTTGAAGAAAAAAACTGCAGTACTGATATTCTAGTATCGGGATAGCATTTTGAACAAATAATAAACATTGGCATTTCTTATTAATGCTGATATTAATTTCAGTAACCACGCGCTAACATTAGTCATTTTTTACGATAACAATGGATCTGGAGGTACAGACAGCACTGATTTATCTCATATTTAATGTAAACAGGTCATTCGATGGAACCAAAACTACCGATTTGCATTATGTGTACCCGATTTTAAAACAAAAGAGAAATATTGGCTCTTTTAATGTAAACGAACAAAAGTTATATTATCTAGATCTATTTTCAACACCATTGGCATTTTCTGACAATCAACCCTTCTTGAGGCATCACGAGTACAAAAAAAAAATACGCAATCGACCAAGTAACTACTAAAGTCACACAACTCCTACACTCATTAAAATTGATTTGAAGGACACGATCACTTGTTGTATGCATAGTAATGTATATACTAGGAAATTAAACGTAAAAAAACATAAGTAGCTAATCAACAGAAAAATGGGTATCAGATACAGTTATGAATGATAGACAAAGAGTGTACTGGTGCACTTCCTTGTGTCACGTGTAAGACGGATTCCCCATCTTGGTAGTCAGCAATTCTGTGTTGACATGAAATATCATTGATATGGTCATAATTATAAAATAACTGTTTGTCGAGCTTTGAATTTTTCGAAATAATAAGGATTTACTGCCCTAGGAATGAATTACTTTGTTTGTATTTGACAAAACCTTTCGGAATTTTAGGTACTCAATGCTCTTCAACCTCGTACTTTATTTGGCCATTTTAACTTTGTTTTATTTTAGCATCACGCGAGCCTGGCATACACAATTCTAGTCCTGGTATCTATGATGAATTTATTCCCAACCTTCGAGTGAAGCGGGTTATTTATATGGAACACACAATGCATATAATTAATGGACTGATCGATCGCTGACCTTTGTCACAAAGCAACCATCAAACACGTCAAATAAGCTATGGCTTCTAAATCACTTAATATTCATGGATCATTTTCCGATAAGTCAACATTCATTAAGCGATCTGTCAAGTTCCTGTTAAAGTTTTACGCTTAGTGTATAAAGCATTATAAGTGTTTTTTGTGTTGTTGCTAGTACTGATTTGATGAGCCAATCCCCTAGAATATATTTTTTCTGATATTGCGCTTTTACATCACTGAATTACGCCAGCACTGGGATGTGTGCTCTCAGACATGTATAACACCGAAACTTTATTGATGTGGCAGACTCAGACCAGGATACACTTATGTTGTGTTCTTCGCTGTCGCGATAATTTTAGTTTGCGTTTATTGTTATAATGTAACTCATACTATTTGATATCACTGTTTGCTTGGTTCAAATGTTGTCATCTATTAGCCTTTTCCAACTTTTGAAAGTTGCTTATTGTTAACAGGCAGAACAATGAAATGTAGTTCTCCCATATCCTGTTCTGTGGTCTATGGCATAAATTCGTCGTATTAGCGATCATAACCCAACTTTTTATTGTTATCCTTATATGATTTTACTGTTTGCTTTTTTAAACAAAGAATACCAAGATTGCATAATGAACTTTCAACATTGTTGAATTGAAAAAGACAACAAATAAATATACATGTCTTGAAGTTTCCATGCTTTGATGCAATGCAATTTGTGTCCGTCTGTACGTCATTGAATTGAATTATTACAACATTGAAGTAAAAAACTTAAACAGTTTTCAGAGCATCTGATTGGTTTATCACATATCATGGGCTCATGGAATTGTGATTTTATGGTAAAACATGCAAGACAAATTCTAGTGAGCATTATTGCATTCAGTTATACATGTGTTATAGATAATGTATATTTGAAGATTTTTCTTCTCGTAAAATGTGTATAACACACCTAGGGGTGTCAGGATTGTTCAAATAAAAGACCAACCCTATGGAGGTCTTTCATTGGGCATTCTTGCCATACTAAGGTGCGTTTTACGACACGAAAACATTCAAATATGGAATATAATCTGAATAAAATAGTATAACCCCCTCTCAAATAAGTTACGTGGCTGGTATATGTAATTGTAAAAAATCCCGAAATGACACGATGGAACACAAATTTGTAATGTACATGTAACATGGAAAAAGAACTTCCATGCTAGGTCAAAAGTACAATTCCAACACGATGTGAATCAATATGATTGTATAACATACTTTTGTTGTTTTTTTAATAATCCAGCACATACAACGTGATACAATCTGGCTTCTTTACAAAGGAGTTCTGAAATTATGTTCATTCATTAAATGTATCTCACATTGCAGGGAAAAATTGCTTCTGCCTAACACCTTTAGAGACTATTCAGTTGGAAAATTGTTCAGTAAAATCCCAATTGGCAACAACACACGATTACTTTCAAATGAATAAAATGTTTTCACAAACTGAAGTTTGCATTTTAATCAGGAAAAATTATTACCTTACACATGTTACACAGGTCATAATTTCATATAAAAAAGAAGATGTGGTATAGTTGCCAATGAGACAACTCTCCACCAGAGACCAAATGACATAGAAGTTAACAACTATAGGTAACCGTACAGCATTCAACAATTAACAAAATCCATACCGCATAGTCAGCTATAAAAGGCCCAGAAATGACAAATGTAAAACAATTGAGACAAGAAAACTAACATCCGGATTTATGTAAATAAAACAACGAACGAAATACAAATATGATATACAGCAACAAACGATAACCACTGAATTACAGGCTCCAGACTTGGGATAGGCACATACAGAATATGGCGGGGTTAAACATGTTAGCGGGCGCCCAACCCTCCCCCTAACATGGGACAGTGGTGTAACAGTACAACATATTAACAAACTATAAAAATCAGTTCAAAAGGGCGTAACTCATCATATCGATACAAATCAGAAAAAAAAGTAACAAAAAAACACAGACCGGACGTGGCATGGTATTTATACATCCCTACAACAAAAAAGATACTGAGATTACATGCAGCTTGTTCAAAGCCAATAGCAACCCATGAAAAACACATGTATCTAAGACGACATTGCCTTGAAGCACATTTAACTGAAACTTGGTATCATCCGGATAGATTCTTCCAATAATGACTCAAAGGAAATAACCCCATATAGGTATGCCGAAAACAGATTCAGTTGATTCAGATGACTTATTAACATCTGAAAAATGCATTGATACTTTAATTTACTGTAACAATTTTCTCCTGAAAGTTATTTGTTCTTAAATGTGTTACATCGAAGATTGTGGTATAGAAACAAACAATAAAAGCTGCTCATAAAAACACTGTATAAGTAGAACAGTTGATTTCTCCAAGAATATCTAAATATTATAAAAATAATTCTCTATAAATTTGAGGACTCCGATACGCGTTCCCGGATTACCTTCATACAGAAGACTCTATATTAACTTTAAAAGCAGGGGATGTATAAATACACAGAAGAATATCTAACATAATCTAAGAAGAACTGTGATTGTTGAACTAAAAATCTTAGTTTGTCAATAATTTATGAATTTATCAATAGAAAATTTAAGAAATAAATATAATAGATCGTTTAAGTGACAACGTAATAAAATGTATGTGAATATTCATATTATTTAAAAGATATAACGGTTAAGCTTTGTACATACCTCTTAAACACCTTTACGCATAAATTCCTTAATATGGATTTTTAAGACCCGAAGGCCTTAAACATGTTAAACGCATGTGTTGTCCGGCGTAACATAGTTTGAAAGGCTTGTGCAATTTCTTCGATTTCAATTTCAAGGGATAACCATTGTTTTTATCTCTAATTTTGACGCAATTACCACAAAAGTGGCCCCATTTAAAAAGCATTAATCTCATTCGAGTAGAAAGAAAATGTTTGATGTCATAAGCCTTCGTCATTGCCGTTACCCAGGAAAATAGCGATAACAGATTAGCAATGATCCATCATACTCGAGGATGTTTCTCGTTAGAAGATCCATCGATAATCTGTAATTAAACCTTTAAGGGATTTTGTGTCCTCAATGCTCTTCAACTTCGTACTTAAGTTGGCCTTTTTAACTTTTTTTTTGTTCGAGCGTTACTGATGAGTGTTGTGTAGACGAAATGCACGTCTGGTGTACACAATTTAAATCCTGGTTTCTATGATGAGGTTATTTACATATTTTATTTATAATTATTTATACCATTTGTATTATGCTGTTAGTTATAAGACATTATTATCATTGTTAATTACGTTTTAAATTCTGCCTATCCCGAAGTCAGAGCTAAAACAAAACATTGGATAATGCTATCATGTGTATTTTTATTACTTTTCTGACTCCTCATTATAAAATTGAACACTTTGTACTTCGGTAAGTCAATCAAAAAGGCCATTTATAGAAGTCATAGTATATAAAATTATGTATACGTACAATTTTCTCTGTAGTAAATAGTTATATCTGTGATAAATGCAGTTCCGAGAGATAATTGAAACATCCACCATGCTTTTGGTCCACTATTTACGTTTGTGGTTGAGCATATATCCAAAGTAAAATTATTAGATATAGGTGGCAATAATGCATATCGTGGATGACTTAAACTTCCACCAAACACAGAACTTTGATTAGCTGTGCCATATGGTGTAAGGTTATCTGTAAAATAAGTATCAATATTAGTGGTTTTGATAGAACCTATGTGTGACTATCATATCCTTGCAGACTAATTTTTTAGAATGTAAAACTATACGTATTCAAACAGAATGTGGTTGTTATTTATATTTTGAATGACCGGAAATTCGTTTTCTTAATCAATTCTAAGTTTTATTGTCGCGATTCAGATGCTGACCAAATTTTGTAGAATCCAAAAAACATTAGCCTTAGAATGTAGAATGCTGCATCGTAGTTAAACTTCTATGGCACTAGGAGTACATTGTTAAAGCCTCAATCATACCGCATCTTCTTCTTTCTATATCACGTGTAAATTTCATGAAATACAAATGGTATTACAACATCGTTCTGTGTAAAGTCTCTGTAAGAGTCTCCTTAATATTTGCTATTTTTGATGATTGTGTTATTCTATATGTATCAAAATGTTGGTGTAATGCTTGTTTTACATCTGCAGTTGCACAATGTCTTAAGTCACGTCCAAATTATCTGTAATTTAAGATAGTGTAAGGAATAAACGGTCTGAGAAAGCCATAATCTACAAACTTTATGAAAATTCAATAAGTATGAAAAATTCGCTCTTATGGTCTAACATAAGTAACATACACTAAGAGTTTCTCTAGTACACACCATGCATGCAACTAATGTCAAATCAAAGTTGTCGATTCAGTATGTTCAATTACACGTGTTATTCAAATTAAACCTATATTGAAAGCTGTCTTGCAACTTTTCTTAGCTAACTAAGGTTCATAAATGCCATTATACTTAAAAAGAGCACAAATTGTGATTAAGTGAGACGGACGCTACATAATGAAAATTTATTTAATGAGTTTGAAGATTTTGGAAGTAACGTTTATTAACAGTATGTCACAATAGTCATAACATTAGCAGATTAGAATATAAGCATTGATACTGTATTGTCAACAATTCGTAGTGGCAAATAATCTCACTGTGTATGGCATTTTCCGAGAACATTATGACAGTTAGGCTCAAAAGGTACGTTACAATATGTCAAAAGGCTTTAAATCCCATAATTTTGACATAATTTATCGAATCAAGAAAACAATTTTAAATTTGTCGTGATACTGTGCTACAGTATTCCTTAAATCGTCAAAGTCCTGTCACCCACGGAAACACTGTTAAAATCAAATGATGGAACAGTATTTTGAATTTAATACGTGGATAGATATATCTACTTAGAATCGGAGTTTTATTAGCTACGATCTTAGAGAGACCTGTTCACAAGGTTTGATTATTGATCAATAGGCCAAACATGGTCAAAGTAAATTTAACTCTTGCTTACAATGGAATATCGAAAAGGCGACATAGTATGATCAACTTGAGCAACTTACAAATCATCAAAACGATTGGCTATATGTAAATGATCAGACAGACAATATGACGCTACATATCTTTAACTATATCGCCAGGAATGATTGTTTTACAATATGTATGTAGATCCCTTGACAACATGAAAAGGTTTTTTTAATCTGTAAACTTTAGTCCATAAAACTCAATACAATAATTACGGCGTCTGCAAATAGCTTAGTTAACCAAATCTGCAGTAAACTACGACAGGACATCATGTACATGAATATAGCAGACAGATATAACGTAAAAGAATGATGCTAGTTTGCTTTTCGTAGAAAATCCTGGGGTAATAAAAAAAAAGTAAGGAAAGATACAGTTGTATTCGGATGCGATGTTCACTCGGCAGGACTCTGTAATTATAGAAGGCCATTTATGAATTTGTTATACACCATGAAGTAAATGGTGTGTATATTAACGATGGCTGTGACTGCTTCTAAGCCGATAGACAAATTTGAAAATATATATTTCACTTATTCATACGCAAAGCTGTGAGAAGCACTTGATAAAGTACCAGTAAAATCAACGGGACTATCGTGATCATGGGCTGTTGCTGATGATTAACGTTGTCGTATCGAGTTGTCTTCCGTCGTACATGTACATTTACGCAATTGCCATCCGCTTTAATGAACTATGGTTGCAATGAATAATTGTCTAATCGGTAATCATACTACATTTCCTTTATTTATATATATTTATCATCATATAGAAATTTTAAAAATGTTGAAACCAAACATTAAATACATTAACTTACGTTGGGCCCTTACTGTCAACTGGATAGCTGTGTGAATTAGTAACACTAATAACATTTGTAGTGTTGTTATATAGAACAGGTATAGTCAGAATTAATATTTGGCTAAAATATAAAAAAAAAGATAATTAATCATGTAATAAATTATATTAAGTAAATAATAACGATGAAAGTAAAGGTGAAAGAGGGGGAGTTGGGGTGGGGCGGGGTGGGGGGTGTGGGGATAGGGGTGGGGGTGTTGCTTGCTACATCTACGTTGTCTTTAAAAGTTGTTAAAGATAACAGTGAGTGCATTACACGTATGAAGCTACAACATAATGTATACATTGAAAAGTAAAAATCTTAAAATGGTATAGTAAATGCAATTGAGCATAAAATAACAATATCATGCTTGATAAGTACCAGTAGTATAATCTGTTAAACTAATGCATTTATCCCCTTCTAACTTGGAAACTGTAACAGTGATGCATTGATGCACATATTTGTTTTAAACTCTCAGTGTTTCCGGAAATGATGTAAGCAACAATAAACAGTTCTTGTAACGTAAACTATAACGATAGAAAAGCTTCTCGAACTATGCACTAAAGCAAACAAAACGTTGTACAAATATTTTTTGAAACGCATATGTACGTATGCTAGAAGTTTACAACAAACGGGATAATGTTCATAAACCGTAAGCAATACGACAAACGATATTTCATAAGTTATTCAGCATGTATCTACCGATTATGCTTCAGTAAAGCAATTGTTTCAGCTTTTATATTGTCATGTATTGGGAATGATCTGTTCGTTGTTCACTTATAACCGATATCACAATTGGATTATGTGTTGACAATTTTTGCTTCTACCAATTTTGTATATTTTAATTGTGCAATGAAAAAAAGTATGAAGGTTAACAGAATTTTAGATAGATTGAAAAGATACTTGACTATTAAAAGATTCAGTATGTTTATGACTTAATCATATATAAATTAGTAAAATCAAATGGTAAAATCATAAACAATGATAACTACATGAGGTGTTGAAAAACAAACAGACAATTGCATTTTCTCGAATATCAAAAAATGACAATAATGACCCCCTTTTGTGTATATTTTTTTCGGACTAAAAAAAAACCGATGCAGTCAAATAGGGAGTAATGTTTGTGTCCAGAAGATAATAATACGTCTTACACTTTGAATAAAAATTATGAACACGATTTTTCATGACGTTACGAATCCAGTCATGATATGTATGATTTCAAATGCACTTCTGGATCCTCAATTTAGATAAGTTTTTTAAATCCAAACAACCTTTTCATTTATGTGAAAAAAAGGAAATCTTTTGTCTTGTTCTCTTTTTTTTTATTGATTGCTTAAGAAAAAGTAATAAGTTTACATATGTTCGACCAGAAAGGTAATTTATACGTCAATTTAACAGTAATAAACAAAACAAATGACCAAACGATATTTAGAAACATATATCCATATCTGATTTGAATGAACTGTTCTTGTGATTTTTAATGTTCGTAATTTATATATATTTTCTACTTTTTATGGTGATTTTAAAACGCAAGAGACAAAGAAGGATAGCAATAAAACTAAAAAAATAATACAGGTTTTTTTAAGTATATCTTCCCTACAATGAGTTTGGTGTTAATTGCCACTACGCGAAGATTTAGAATAGATAAAATCTCCATTAAATAGGTATACCATTTTTGCTGCATGTAATCGTTGTGTGGTGTATTGAATCAGACATTTATATGAATGTGTCTATTCTGCAATAGGTTCAGGAACAACGAAATTACTTTGGTATGCTTATGATACTTGTCCTAGGTAATAAATAACAACTTTCCCTTTTTGTAGTTTTGTAGTTTTAAAACAAAGGTTATGTATCAGTTTTTAACTGTCTGAATACAAATCGTCACACTAACAGAAAGTAAACCTAAAAGAATTAACAAAAATACCAAACTCAAAGGTAACTTCAAAAGGAGGGAAGTCCATAAAAACTGACGAATTAAACGTAAAACTATATCAATCAACGAAAAGAATTGAAAACAGCTGTCATATACCTAACTTGGTACAGATATTTTTCGGAGAAAATGGTTGATAAAATCCGGTGTTATAGCTAGCTCAACCTTCCTTATGTATGACATTTGTTTATAATTATGTTATATTGATAATACTGGGTGAGCTACCACAAGAGACATAAATGGTCAATGTGACACTACTAGGGATCCAACAGCCAAAACTGTGTAAAGATACATCACAGACATACAGTACAATTGCCTAAACAATTCAAACAAACATACACATTAATCTGTCAAAGACGCCAATAAAAACGTTTCTGTTGTTAAATATAGTCTTAATGCTACAATTATAGTAAATTCATTTTTCTTATAAACAAGTTCATGGTATGACAAATTATGTGCACACATAAGTATATCCAACACCATCAAAGGTAAACATTGCTAAACTTTTGTCTTTTGTAATAAAACAAAAACCGTAGAAATCTCGCAATAAAAATTGATAAAATTGATACAAAACAAATTCCTGTGTGTATTTCGATTCACGTAAAGACAAACGCATTTCATTTATTTATTTTGATTTTACCGAAAGAAAAACATGAAAACAGGTTTATCTGTTTGAATATACTTTATGTTGATATAAGTTTACTGCAGATCGTAACAAAATAATAATTATTTATTCGGTATATAAAGATACAAACATACCTTCTATCGGATACTTGATCATATTGTAAAAAACCCACACCTGATATACCCCATCAAGTGCTTCTCTTCAATTGAAATATCATAAATATGGTTGAAAATTTATGTCTGAAATTTAAAAAAACGTACATTGTATTGATATAATTTCTAGCTCAAAAAGACCAATTATATTATCATAATACAATGTTAACGTATGATTTGTGTTTGGTAAAAAAAACATTTCCTTATATGAAATACTTAGTTTAACTTATCTTTATTCAAACAAAACATATCGTATTTGTCAGATCAATAATGGTTTATGTTGATAAACATTACTTTAGATAAATATAATACAGACAGCAATGAGTGTCTTTATCTATATTTGGATATTTCAGTTTCACATGGAAAACTCTATACACAAATTTACGACAAATGAGACGATTTTTCGATCCCGATTGTTAATTTTTCTTTTTAGACAGTGATGTTCATTTGGCGCCTTCTTATGGTGTGTATAATTCACAACTTGTTCGGGTTTGTGTATTCGCGTTTTAGATTAAACTGAATGTGTTTATGCATTACTGATACATTATTAAGTAAGGGATTTCGTATAAAATCCTTTAACAAATTCGTTCATAGATTCAAAGATTTGGTTAAAGAGTTTGGCTGTACCAGTAAAGTTCATACCAGTACGGGATATTACATCTTCATTTTTACGGTGATGGTGTTTATAAAGCCCGTAAATTTAGAAACGATCTATGTAAACTAAATGATTCTTTAAATAAACCTATTCATAAAGGTTATAATTTTAACACAGTAGTAAAATCTTTAAATATTGTATTTATTGATTTTACTTTTTTCGGGGAGAAAGTCGTTTGTGGTTTGAATTCTACATTTTCGGTACATTTCACATATGTCTTATTTGTCAGTATAGTCGAGTAACTCGTGGTTCGTCTACAGTGTTTTTGATTTATGTTGTTTGTTTTCAAGTGTGTTTACTATTTGGTCTTACATGATCTTGCTTTATATTACAGTTATTTTATTTCTATTTTCTATGTGCATGTAAAAGTTAAGATAATAAATCAACTATTTCATTTTATATCATTTTAAGTTTAAAGCAACTATATGCTCAGGATTTTTTTGTTTATACACATTTTTGATTTAGAAGAAAAACCGACATGGTTAGAAAATACAAATAATTACACCATTACAAACACAATTCCATTTTAATATTCTTGTCATGGTTAAAAAGTACATAAAATAACACCATTACAAACTCAATCCCAATTTAGTATTCTTGTACGTGTCTATAGATAAACAAATATATTTTATTTTTAGAAATTAACCTGTGATAATATAAACGTCACAAAAAATACGTCACTTTTTTGTGGCGTTGATTCATTCATGTGACGCGCAATTTATACTTCGTTTATGGTGTCCTGGTGTGATGTCGTAAATTCATGGGAGGTGTCCGTTGTTTGTCTGCGGTTTACATGTTGTAATGTACTATCATATTATTTAATATTGTATTTCTCTGTGCTGAGTGTTCTTGCGTTTGTTTGTACTGTATTCCTGTCACATAGTGTTATCATTTTAGCGATATTTTTTAACTTTGCCATATTAGCGGGAGGTTTGGTTAGCCATAAAACCAGGTTCAACCCACATTTTTTTCTTAAAATGTCCCGTACCAAGTCAGGAATATGGCAGTTGTTATCAAATAGTCCGTTTCGATGTATGTTGGCGTTTGTTTTTGTTGCATTTTAGTGTTTCTGTTGTTCCGTTGTGTTCCTCTTATAGTTGATGTGTTTCCCTCGGTTTTAGTTTGTAACCCGGATTTGTTTTCACTAAATCGATTTATGACTATTGAACAGCGGTATACTACTGTTGCCTTTGTTTATCCATAAGTTGTAATTGGCTTTGAACTGGCTTTCAGAAACTGCGAATGCTCTTATTTCGGTTTTCTGTTTCTTTTGTTTTATGTTAGATGTGTTTGAGCCTCGTACCGACCTTTTAAATCCTGCTGATTGCTACTGATTTTTACAGCTTGTTCTTATGTTGTGCTGTTACATCATTGTCCCAAGTTAGGGGATGGTTGAGCGTTCACAAAAGTTATAACCCCACCACATTCTTTATGTGCCTGTCTCTAGTCATGAGACTGAAGTTCAGAAGTTGTCGTTAAGGAATAAAATTGAGAATGAAAACGGGGAATGTGTCAATGAAACAACAACCCAAATGCCTGTCATATTGGTTTTACTTAAGTTATTTTGTTATAAAGTAGGCCGTTTGTTTTCTCGTTTGAATTATTTCAACTTTTTAATTTCGGGGCCTTTTATAGCCGACTATACGGTATGGGATTTATCATGTTCTATTACTTATGGTACTCAAATTAAACCTACTATGATAGCTGTCGGGCACATTTTTGCAACGACCTAGTGCTAAAAAAGGTCATTATACTTGAAATAACACACATTTTGATTAAATAAGACGAACACCACACAATGAAACCAGCTTGAATAATTATGAAAGGTTTTGAACGGACGGGCTCACGGAAGTTATATAAAAAAGAAGATGTGGTATGATTGCCAATGAGACAACTCTTCACAAGAAACCGAATGACATAGAAATTAACAACTATAGGTCCCCGTACGGCCTTCAACAATGAGCAAAGCCCATACCGCATAGTCAGCTTTAAAAGGCCCCGAAATGACAAAAGTAAAACAATTTAAACGAGAAAACCTACGGCCTAATTTGTGTACAAAAAAAAATTAACGAAAAACAAATATGTTACAAAAATGTACACATCAACAAACGACAACCACTGAACTACAGGCTCCTGACTTGGGACAGGCACATACATATAGAATGCGGCGGGATTAAACATGTTAGCGGGGTCCCAACCCTCCCCTTAACCTGGGGAAGTGGTACGATATAACATAAGAACGAACTTTAAAAATAATTTGAAAAAGGCTTAACTCATCAGATTGATACAGATAGAAATACATCTAACAAAAACACAGAGTGGAAGTGGCCGGGTACTTGTACATCCCAACAACAAAAAGACACTAAGTACATATCTGAGAGTACTCGCAGTTACTGACAGCTAGTTCAAAGCCAATAACAACTAATAAAAAATCATGCATCTAGGACTAAATTATCAATCATTACACATCCAACATCCAATGGATTTAGTGTGAAGACGTCATAAACAGTCAGAGAAAAATATGACCTTGTGCAATGTCAAAATACAGGTACAGACAGATTGTAGATCCATGAATGTGCATATGTATATAACAATAATATTTAGTTTGCTTTTAATTTACTGATAACAAAATCAATATTAATACCAATAAAAACAATATTCAAATATCTAATTACAGTGTTGAATTGGTAACCTTTTAGAATAAGTTTATTTAAAGGATCGATAAGATTACAAGGGTTGTTTCTAAATTTCCGGGCACGGTAAAAGAACGTAAATAAAATTGAGAATGGAAATGGGGAATGTGTCAAAGAGACAACAACCCGATCATAGAGCAGACAACAGCAGAAGGCCACCAATGGATCTTCAATGCAGCGAGAAACTCCCGCACCCGGAGGCGTCCTTCAGCTGGCCCCTACACAAATATGTATACTAGTTCAGTGATAATGGACGTCATACTAAACTCCAAATTATACACAAGAAATAAAATTAAAAATGATATAAGACTAACAAAGGCCAGAGGCTCCTGACTTTGGACAGGCGCAAAAATGCGGCGGGGTTAAACATGTTTTTTGAGATCTCAACCCTCCCCTATATGTGTATATTTACGCCAAATGTATTTTATTTTGGTTGTCGAAATTGAAATTAGTAATTATTCAGTAATTCAAAGTGATCCTATATCTGGGAAAAAATTAAATATTAAAAAATACTCAAATTTTCTCAATAAAATTTAACTTGAAGATTAAAAAATAGCATTTGGAAGAATTATATTTACTTTATTGCTAGATTATCCCAAAAGAAGTTAAATTGTTCTTGTTGTATATCAATTTCATTCCTTAAAATTGATACAATTATTGAAAATGGAAATTGAATTTTTACTGAAAATTTTTTTTTTTCTATTTTACATACAAATGCAAACAATGCACATTTATAAGATAAACATTACATTACCTCTTTTAGTTTTCAACTCAAAAACAAAACGGATACTCCTAAGTGAAGGAGTTTTTCAATTTGAAATGTCTAGATAAACATAAAAAATAGTTTATCATGGTGGAATTTTTATTTTTCGAAAATTTTGTAAGAAATGAAAATGCTCCAGTGTGGAACATTTTTCAATTTTTAAAATCGTTTGACAAAAAGAATAATGCTCTTTCAGTTTTGACAAAACTATTGGAAAATGGTTAATTAACTTATTTTTTTTCTTCATTGTTAACAATTTATAAAGTGCATTATAAGTATGTAGCTACGACATAATGCTTACACTGAAAAGTAAAAATCTCAAAATTGTATAGCAAAGACAATTGAGCAAAAACTAACAATATAATGCTTGACAAGTACCAATAGTTTGGTCTATTGTATCATGTTAAACTAATGGATTTAACGCCTTCTAACTTAAAAACTCTAACAGTGATGCATTGATGCACATATGTTTTTATCAAAATCAGTATTTACTGAAATAGTTTATCAAAAATGAATAATTCTTGTCACGTAAAATATAACGATAGTGACGCTTCTCGATCTATGCACTTAAGCAGACGAAAAAATGTTCAAATATTGTTTGAAACACATGTGTACGAATGTTAGCAGTTTACAACAAACAAGATGATATTTCATTAACCATTAACAATACGGCAAACGATATATATTATTCCTTGTGGTGTATTGGGAATATTATTTTCGTCTTCCAACTATAACACAACGTAGTACATATTGAAACCAAATTAGTTCCTTCGCATGGTGTAACTGTCAAATATGCAGAATTTTTTTTTCAAATTATAGTTGAATTACTGGTGATCATTGTAAAATACTTTTTTTATTTATGGTTTTGAATAATAAAAAAATATGTGTGCAATTTAAAAAGGAGGGTGCGTTTCGTCTGTTTCTCAGATCGGAAGTACCTGTTGGGGTACTTCCGAATTTAAAGGAACCGATACTCTATTATATGTAACTAAAGGTACTTTTTCAGTACATGACACCATAAGGTGTTGCTTTGACATGCAATGACTGTCACTTTATTTAAATTTCAGACAAAAGTGCTGTAATTGCTTAAAATTCAACATAGAAAGCAATGCGGCAATGAACAAGAAATCAAATTGAAGTACTAGGCACAGTGATACATATTTTGAAATAAAAACGGATTAAACTATTATTATTATTATTACTATGACTTTCAAAACTTCACACAGAACAATAGGAGAATAAAAATGAAATCGCTGTGTGATGTATTGAATCAGGCAATAATATGAATGTGGCTATTCTGCCATAGTTTAAGGAATAACAAAATTACATGCAAATGCTTATGATAATTGTTCTAGGTTATGAGCAAAAACTTAAACGGAACCAATCTTTAAAAAAAGGATTGACAAAAATACCGAATTCCAAAGTAAATTAAAAAAGAGGGAATTCCATAAAGTCTGGCAAATCAAACGTTAGCATATATCAATTAACAAAACTATTTGCAACACCTGTCGTATTCTTGACTTGGTACAGATATTTTCCAACGAAAAAAGGTCATTAAAACCGGGTATTGTACATGTAGCCAGCTAAACCTCCCTCTAGTAAAACAATTGTTTATAGTTGTGTTCTATTGACAAAACTGTGTGAGCAATTCTAACAGACGTAATTTGTTAACGTGACAATGCTTGGGATCCAGCATCAAAAACTGTTTTAACATACATGACAGACAAACAACATAACTGTCTAAATATTTCAAACAAACATACAAATTAATCTGACTAATGTTTTTGTTGTTAAAATATAGTCTTAAAATTTACAGCTTAATTTTAGTGAATTCATTTTCCTAATAAACAAGTTCATGGTATGTCAAACATATACAAACACATAAGTATATTCAACACCACCAAAGGTGAACATAATACGTTTGTAATAAAAACAACATATAAATCTTGCACTGAAAATTGATAAAATTGATACAAAAAATATAAGGTGTGGCATGCGATTCACGTAAACACCAAAACATTTCGTTCATTTATTTTGATTTTACAATAAACAAAGATTATCTATTGGAGTATATTTCATGTTGATATCAGTTTCCTGTATACCGTAACAAATAATAATTAGTTTTAAGGTATATAAAGAAAGCAAACATACCTTCAATCGGATAAGTTATCATAATGTAAAAAAAAACCACACTTGTTGGATAGGTCCCAAGTTATCTACACCATTTCAAACAAGGACACAGTTTCACCTATTTCAGTCAGGCATACACTTGTAATTTAATATTGTATTGTAAACATATGATAGTTACGTTTTAAATAGAAGGATCACACTACAATAAACGTTTCGTAAAGTTCACAAACATATAATTAGATCTGCATATAACAATACTTTTATATAATTTTAAAGACACACATGGTTAGAATAGATTTTTTATGAGACGAAAGACCCCGTCCTGTCCTTCTCCTCAATTAAACGAATCATGAAATTAATATGGTTCAAAATATATGTCTTAAATTACAAACCATGCATTGTAGTGATATAATTTAGCTCAAACAGACCTTTTATATTTACATAAACTAATACTAATGTTTGATTTTTGTAAGGTAAAAAAAACATTTCCTTATTTGAAATACTTGATAATCCTGATTCAAACCAAATATTCTCTTTAGCAGATCGATAATGGTTTGTGTTGATAAAATTTACTTTAATAAAATGTTATAAAGACTACACTTAGTGTTTTTTTTTCTATATTTTTGATATTTCAGTGTCATACAGGAAACTATTGCAAATTTTATTTACAAGAGACGATTTTTCGTCCCCGATTGTTATTTTTTTTTTTTTTGGACAGTGATGTTCCTTTGATGCTTTCTTACGGTGTGTATATTTCATAAATTGTCAATAACACTTATCTGCGAAATGTGTTATCTAAAGGTCCGAAATATCGTGAGCCTAAATCCATCAATTGAAAACTTAACTTAATACTGATGGATTCATTCTAGGATAATGCAAGGCAATTGGCTTAATGCGAGAAAGAAGACGTAGATACTCTGTCCGAATGGATTAAGGCTGTTAGGTCGTTAATACATCAGAATTAAGAAACTGAATGGGTCTATTAATGCTCATGCTACGACAATCTTTAAAGACCCAAATGTTGCAAAACACTTGTCCTACCTCCATGACAACAAATCCCCAAACAACATCGTTTTTGTGTGTAAATCACATTACATAAACTGCTTAGGTATTGACAATTCACTTGGAAACTCAACATATACCCCCACGACACTTACTCAAGACGAAATCCTGAATAATCATAGGTCTGTTCTATGTTCCTTTTGAATTTCGACCAAAGATGAAGAACTGGATCTTCCATCACTGTATTGGATACCTAAACTACATAAGTCTCCTTAAAAACAACGGTATATTGCTGGGTCTTCCAAGTGCTCCACGAAACCTCTTTCTAAATTATTAACATCAATTTTATCAACAATCAAAGCCGGGCTTCAAAGTTATTGTGAAACTACCTCTTCTAGAGGTGGCGTGAATCATGAATGATAAGAGAAAGTATTCAAGAATGAAACTATAAGTTAAACAGAAAAAAAGAGGTGGATGCCTTTTGTACAACCTTGTAATAGTAAGTGCTTTTACTTCAAGTAATAAAACAACTGAAGAAAACAGATACTAAATAACTATATTCATTTACAAATTTTAATGTTTTTAGAAATGTAAAAATTAACATAGAAATGTGAGACAGAAAAACAATCAAAGGCGTAGTATCACAAAGCAAGAAACAAACAATTGAGCGACAGGAAAACCACAGAGAGTCAAATTGTAAACAAGCATATCATTGCCACTACCCTGCTTAAAGCCTCTTCCGAACATTTGAAAGTCCCGACTATGTACTGGTTACTTAAATTACATAAACAACCATTTAAATTCTGTTTCATCTCCGTATCCAGTAAGTGTTCTACTACTAGTCTATCAGTGCTTCTTTCTACCTCCCTTACTACTATCAAGGAACTTTTTATTAACTTTTGTAATAAAGCTTATGAAAATAATGGTATTAGTTGTTTTTTGGAGTGTTAACAATTCCTTAGAGGTTTTAGATGAAATACGTGCTTTTGAGGGTCCTTTTTATTCTGTTGACATTTATTTTTCTACTCTCTACACTACACTTCCACACAATCTTATTTGCAAACTTATTTGTTGTAACTCGTTTAAAGACTTTTTCTGTAACGAAAAAGGAAAGTATGCTAGATACACTCACTGGAAATGTAAAGATATGATTGAAGCTTTAAATTTTCTCCTGGACAACATATATGTACGTTTCGGCGATAAAGTGTATCAACAGGTAGTAGGTACACCTATGGGTACTAACTGCGCCCCTTTAGTAGCAAATTTATTCCTGTATTGCTATGATTCTCAGTTTGTGACCAAACTCAGTAAAGACACGTCATTTTTACATTTGGTTGATACATTCAACAATACCTACCGTTATCTTAATGATATGTTTCGTTAAATAATCCAGAGTTCTCTAAATATACTACCGAAATTTACCCAAAGAAACTTACTTTATATAAATCTAACATAAACAGCAGTAGTTGTCCGTTTCTAGATTTAGACATACCAATTTCTAAAGGGAAACTCCATACTAAAATTTACGACAAAAGAGACGATTTTTCATTCCCTATTGTATTTTTTTTTTCTATTTTAGACGGCGATCTTCCTTTGGCTCCATCATACGGTGTGTATATATCCCAACTCTTTCGTTATGCCCGTGTGTGTAGTGATGTCATAGATTTTAACGAACGTAATCAATGCATCACTGGTAAATTATTAAGTCAGAGATTTCGTTACAATAAATTACTTAAAACTTTTACTAAATTCTTTCACAGATACAAAGATTTGATTTATAAATTTGGCTGTACCTGTAGAAAAACTTATCAAAAACGGTATTTCACATCCTATATTTTACGGTAATATTGTACGAAAAGCGCGGAAATCACTATGTGATCCGTGTAAACACATCTTACCTTTCAACAAACTTATTAGTAAAAATTATCATACCTATGTTGTAATTAGATCTTTGAATATAGTTTTCATTAGCACAAATATCGATTTTGTCATCAGCAAATTAAAACATAACTAAATTTGTATTCTTTTCAAACGTTTTTTTTTAGATGTATAAATAAACATACACTTTCATTTTCTATATAGAGATTACTCTATCTATATATAACATTATACACATTTATTAAAAGATTAACTCCTAACTATCCTACTGCCTGTCGATACCTTTATGTTGGCATTGCACAAGTCATGTCTTCTATGACTGTCCATGACGTTAAAACACTAAGTCCCTGAGATGTGTTTTAGTTGATTTTAGTCTCTGATGCATGATTTTTTATTATTATTTGTTTTTGGCTTTTGACTAGCTTTCAGTAACTACGAGTACTTTCAAATCGTACTTTCGTGTTAATTTGATCTGTTGATACATTTTGTTATGCATTTTTGTTATTTAATGTTTACTTAGTTAGTGTTATATCTCGTTTCACTATTTTTAATGTATACCATCTTAAATAAGTGTTTGGTATGACGATAAATTTTCACTTCTGTTCTCGTACTATGGACAACAAAATTATTTATTTTGTAAAAAATATTTCCGTACTCCATGTTTACCTTACAACAAAATTATTTGTATTTACCTGTGTACGTTATTCTATTTGGCGGCATTTTGTCCAAGGTTAAGGTTGTCTTTCTGATATTGTTTTACATCTAACCCCTTGTTTTATTAATTTTGTATTTACATAGTGTCATAGATCAAATTTATTCGTTCAGTGTATATTCACTTGTTTTTGTTAATATGTCTTTTGATTGAGTTAAGCCATTTCAATTGATATTTTATAGTGTGTCTTTCTATGTTGTGATGTCACACTATTATTTCAGGTTAGGGTGAAGGTTGGCGCACATTAAAACGTTTAAACCCGCTGCATTTGTTTGCCTCTGTCATAAATCAGGATCCTGATGTTTAGTGGTTGTCGTTTGTTGATGTGGTTTATAAGTGTTTCTTGTTTCACGTTTTTTTATATACTGTGAAAGTACTTTTATTCGTGGGGTACCCATTTTCGTGGTTTTCGTGGATGGCTTCATCCACGAATTTAAGTGTCCAACGAAATATAACAACTGTTTTCCAAATCAAGATATGGAACGATCCATGTACACGATGTAGGTTTGACTACATGGATACGGCGTATAATCTAGAGAATACATCGAATATCGGTTAACGCACTATGAACTATATACATGTATGTACATCTTCAGACAGGGTTTTACCCATTTAATCTTCAAAGAACCTAAACTGTACGTATTATGACCTTTTAATTGTCATGAAAAATTTGTTTTGATCGATGAACGTCAGACTTCCAGTGATGATATGCTATGATGAAGTGTTCATGTTATCCATTATGATTCACATACATAAAAAATAATTTCATATTGGGATTGCTTTCTTATTTCACAAGAATAAATTCTACAATTCAAAGAACATTTGAAGCATATTTTGTTTATGTAACTGTGTTCTTTAAGTGACATGTTTATTGCCCAATTAACTCCTTTTATGATCGTTAATCTGTTGATTATTTGATTTCGGGTTAATTAGTGTCATCACTTCTGATTACACGTGTTTACTTAACAATTTCCGACACAATTCCGAGACAATTTGTAAGCATAGATAAATCAGCTTATTTCCGAATCAAATTGTTTTATTAAAAGTTTGATGATTGTTGTCAGTAATGAAAGACGATCATGTAATTGAAATTAGACACCTAATTTGCAATGTCCCGGAAATCGTTATAAAACAACAAATGATTTATTTTCAAGAATCTTCGTTTCTGATTGCTTCGAATTCTTCACTCAATTTTTTTTTTGTCAAAAAACTAAAATCCACGAATTTAAAAACCCACGGACATGTAACTTTTGCTCAAACCACGAAAATTGATAGCCACGAATAAAAGTACTTTCACAGTAGATTAGATCGTTGGTTTTCCTGTTTGAATGGTTTTACACTAGTCATTGTTGGGGCCCTTTATAGCTTGCTGTTCGGTGTGAGCCAAGGCTCCGTGTTGAAGGCCGTACTGTGACCTATAATGGTTTACTTTTACAAAATGTGACTTGAATGGAGAGTTGTCTCATTGGCACTCATACCACATCTTCTTATATCTATATAACACCTGTTACAGAAGTACATGCAATAATTACTTTTTCTTGCAATTTCAATGCTGAAATCTATTATAGCAAACACGAAGGTCAGAACCACATTAACATTTCCAATCGGCGATTCAAATGATTTAGAGTTTTAGTTATGTTAAGAGTAAATCAGAAGCACATTATAAACTTAATTTAGGCAAAATATTTCAGTTTACTAGTTTTATTGTGTGGGGTATTTATATATTAACAAAAATGTTTCCAACTAGTCTGTTAAATATAACTCGAAATCCGTGTAGTGAACTCTGACTCTCTTTTTTATTTACTATTTGTTTTGTAGGTTGGGTTGTCTCAGTGACAGATATGTCTTATCTCCATTTATTCATATTTGTGTATATTTTTTACTGTTTTATTATGTTATCCATAAAATAATGTTCAAACGTAGCTTACCATTTCTATGCAAAAAATAGCACAGAGCGAACATTAAATTATATAATACACGGCTTTATGACATTATTCCTATATAAGAATAAACGGTGTCTTTTGTAGGGGTTCGTTTATGTATTTGTATATATTTCTACTGACCAAACCCCTATATGACAATGTTTCTACGTTCATCAAAGTCATTCATGTCTAACTTAAACTTAAATAAACCTCTGGCCTTTGTTAGTCTTGTATCATTTTTAATTTTAGTTTCTTGTGTATAATTTGGAGTTTGGTATGGCGTCCATTGTCGCTGGACTGGTATACATGTTTGATTAGGGGCCAGCTAAAGGATGCCTCCGGGTGCGGGAGTTTCTCGCTTCATTGGAGACCCATTGGTGGCCTTCGGCTGTTGTCTGCTCTATGGTCGGGTTGTTGTCTCCCTGATACATTCCCCATTTCCATTCTCAATTTTAATTTTATGATAAACATCAACATGCATTATTTTGGTCAAGGAGATTTTAGTGATTAGCATGGTAAAGAATGCATATTTGGGATAAATAATCATCGTTTTAACGCAAAAAAAATATAAAAAACGTAGAATGAAATATTACGCAAAACATACGTCTAGTAAATGTACATTTACAGCAAGTGTCTTCTTCTGACAACTGTTGAATAACTCGTTATCCAACTTGTCAACTATTTTGACAGAATTAACAGTCATTAAGGTTAGTATTTTTTTAGACTATATTTGGCTTATTAACATTTCTTTGGTATGTAATCTGATGAGCAACTAGGTTGAAATTCCAATTAGTCTCTGCTGATAATAATCTGTTGATGATAACGCTGGTGTAGTCCGTTCATTTTGAATACAATTTGTACACAGCACACTGAAAGAAATAATCAAAATGATCGTTATATTCTTGCTTCATAATATTTTTGTTTGTACGGGAAAAAAACACTATATCGTCGAGTGCTTGATATTTCGTAGGTAGAGACCGTCTACCTCTTATCTCATATTTGCTTATCTATTTTATTCGTATAAATCAGAGTTCATGCTTTTACTTAAAAATAAAATATTAAAATTACTTAATAGATATTTAGACGATATATCTATTGCAAATAATCAATAGTTTTCTCTCAATTAATGATAGTTATTCACTTGAATATAACTATGGAAAACGTTAATAATATTGGTCGTTGACAATCATATAACATCTTTTTATTCAAATTATTTTTAATTACCGATATTATATATGTTTTAAACTGTATTAATTTGTATTACAAACATAGAGATTGATTGTAGGAGTATAATCACACCTGGAGGCAATAATAAGAAGTTGCATACCACGGTTATATTCGTCATACGACTTAAACGTTCAATGCGTCTTTTTTTCTGTGTTTTTTTGTTTGTTAGATTGGTCGTCTTATATTTAGGAAATTGAATTTCAATGGGCTTCTTATTTGAATTGGTATTGTCAAACTTTCCTCTCAACTAAGTTTGTTCGACAGAGTTACATTCGAGATAACTGTTGATACTAAGCACCTTCGTTACACGTTTTAGTTTCTTCTTTTATGTGAAAACAGAAATCTTATCACAGGACTGAAAACATATTGGGGTCATCTCTCAAAACGTTTTACTAATCCCATTATGATTCATGACCGTACGATTTTTTGGCACGATTCAAAAAATTCTATTTTTTTATATTAACAGTCCTATTTTCTTTTTCATCGTCAACATTTGCTATTTGGAAACAAAATCTATGTCCAAAATACAAAAATATTTTTACGAACAATATGCGATATTGGGGCAAACAGTGTTTATCCCTTACGAGCGTCTGTCTTCATTCTTAATTTATTTAGATTGCGTTACTCAAATGGTATCCATAGTCAACCCTTCTTAGACATTTCATCTGTTTACTTCTGGTACCGATTGACTCGTGTTTTACATTTATTTCAATGTTTTCAATTGCTAATGCCACAAGTAAATGCAAATATTCATACCATCAAAGATTATTTAAGCTGTAGTTTTAATATTTTCAGTTTTTCTGGAACAACTACCGCACGTCCCATTGCCAAGTCGGATTACAAACGTGCAGGATTACTATCATTATGATAATTTTGTGTGTCTGTCCCATATTAGAATGGAGATTGTCGTTGACCAATTGGCGGTTGTTATATAGCAGAACCAAAATAAAAAAAAAATAGTAAATTACTATGAATGATAATAAAAAAACAAAGAAAAAGGTTAATGAAAATGTCAATCTTAAATTATGAAATTATCTCTATTAAATATGTGAGATCAGCTCATGTTTTCCTATTTTCTGAAACTTTTTAAATGACCTGAATTGATTATATATATCAGAATGCGATCTGTTTGCTATTAAAACACAAACATATCTTAGGTAGATAAATATCATTACACAGCATATGATTTGTATACTCAATTATTTCTTTTATTTTTTTAACTCATCCTGTTCCTGTTGCACTTCCCACAATTTACATGCAATGTATTTTTCAATTCTAAGAAAGTCTTTCTTTTCACAAGGCATTCACTAATATCTCTATAAATAATTTGAACTTGGTGTTAGCCTGCAAATTATTGTATTTTTCAACATGAAAAAGTGAAATTTCATCATATTAAAATGTCTAGAAAAAGAGCACAAAATGTATGGCATGAATCAGATGAAATAGCTTAGTTAACTATACGAACGAAAAGCATGTGTAAAAAGAAATATATTATTGTAAATATAATTTGTTTAATACAGTACACATACACGTAAAGCCTGTATTATGTTAGTTATAATATATATTTGAGGAAAAGCACGAAGCCAAAAATAGAGGCAAATAATATTTCACGCGTCATTTGTTTAACAAAGACTGTTTTAAAATCATTATTATTGACACAACATAATAAACTGGTGCTCAATCATGAGCAAAAGATATCCGTTTCCTGTTTTGCAAACGTACTCAAAGTTGAAATAAGTATAATTATGATTTTTAATTTGATATTTATATATGAACAAATGATAGTTATTGTTTCATATCAATAGAGTTAAAATAATAATGACAATGTACAAGATATAGTTATATGAATAATATGATATCTGGAATATGCATCCAATTGACAAAAATCCAAACGCATACTTAGTCAAAAGACAAATACTGATTTAAACATAAAGTCAAGTCATGTGAAATATACAATACAGCATTAAGACATTAAAAAGTGTAAATTGTAATAATTTAATTATTATTGTTATGATTTAATCAAACCTGAAACAAGAAACTGTATTGGTTATTATATTGACTTTCTAGAAATCACCTTTAGTGCTGTACGAAATATGAAAAAAAAATGTATGAGATACTCATGAATAAATTAATAAACTCCACGTGTATGTGGACAGGTGATTTATTAAAAAGCAACTGCTGTAAACATACTAACTTTTGATAAATAAGCAGTATTGTCCGGCCCATCCAGTTATACAACCTTCAGTACAAACACCTGTTTGTATATTGCATTTATTGTTTATACAGTTTTGTGTTTCGCATCCCAAAATACAGGAACCATTTCCAGGATAACAGTGATGGTCTGTACATTTAAATGGACATGCCTTTGTACAGTCTGTACCACAGGTACCTTTCATGCATCCTGTAAGAAAGATTCTGCATACATATACTATGTAAATCCTTTTGTTTACCAACTTATTATCTCACATATACAAATATTTCTAAAATTGAATAAGAAATATTCGTTTGCAGGTGAGTTTTTTAAATACAATAAGAAAAAACCATGTCAAGAAAGTCTACGCGAGCAATTTTTGGGAATGATATAACGATTTCCGTAACACACTACCGTACAAGGAAACTTGCAACTCTGACACCACACTTGGATAAACTTGACTAATATCAATCTAAAATCATTCACATTGACAGTGTTGTCATGCTGATGGGCTTGATATTTTATATTGAATCCAGCCTTGGTCTTGTATGAAAACTGATGCTTTCAAAACTGGTTTTCCTTAGCGTGCTACAATAATAACAGACGCAAAAATGACAGGAAAAACAATCAAAATTACATGAAATCAAAATCAGGTTTTTTAATTGAAATAATAATATATGTTCGAAAAGTATTTAGAAGCATCTTTTACGTTAAGTTTTATTGTATTAGGTGGTAGATGTTTTGGCTAAGAAGTAACGGAGGGCAGTGATAGTACTAGCCTTGTTCCCGAGCTCCCCAAAAAAATGCAGAATAAATTCAACGAATAAAATTGAAATGTTTTAATTTAAATCCACTCATCCGATGAGCATCTGAAAGAAATCAAATACGAATATATCGTTGCATATATGCAGGTTTTCAAATTAGGCATAATCCTCAAATTTGGCATCTGTAGTATCTCATGACATCACAGCACAATGACGAATTGACTTTTTTGTAAGTTTAAACGCTTTGTGTCGTGTGGAATACACTTGGTACACTATGGGAAGATGTTTTACAACACCTCGTTTCGTGGGATCATACGTCAAAAGAAGGCGACCATAAGTTAATTACCTAAATCGAACATAACGATAAAATGTCACGGACAAACATGATAACATAAATGACCGTCAGAACAGATATTTATAATGCATTTTGGAATGGGGCGACCAATTGTGACAAGCCATGACAAAAGAAGAGTATTCTAAAACATAATGGGGCCGTATGCGTGAACTGTATACAGACGAACTGTCTGTCAATCGATGTATCCGATTATGACATTAGTAGCATGATTTTAGTCAGAAACGGTCATTTTGGTCTAAACAAATCTAAATTGAATGAATTTACACAAGAGAAAAACGTCATGAGTTTTTCAGACTTTCAGACGCCGTTCCGATCGACAGTGACATCAGGCATTTCAGTCCGTTCAGACATTTTGTTTACCAACTTATTATCTCACATATACAAATATTTCTAAAATTGAATAAGAAATATCGTTTGCAGGTGCGTTTTTTAAATACAATAAGAAAAAACCATGTCAAGAAAGTCTTCGCAAGCAATTTTTGGGAATGATATAACGATTTCCGTAACATACTACCGTACAAGGAAACTTGCAACTCTGACACCACACTTGGATAAACTTGACTAATATCTATCTAAAATCATTCACATTGACAGCGTTGTCATGCTGATGGGCTTGATATTTTATATTGAATCCACCCTTGGTCTTGTATGAAAACTGATGCTTTCAAAACTGGTTTTCCTTAGCGTGCTACAATAATAACAGACGCAAAAATGACAGGAAAAACAATCAAAATTACATGAAATCAAAATCAGGTTTTTTAATTGAAATAATAATATATGTTCGAAAAGTATTTAGAAGCATCTTTTACGTTAAGTTTTATTGTATTAGGTGGTAGATGTTTTGGCTAAGAAGTAACGGAGGGCAGTGATAGTACTAGCCTTGTTCCCGAGCTCCCCAAAAAAATGCAGAATAAATTCAACGATTAAAATTGAAATGTTTTAATTTAAATCCACTCATCCGATGAGCATCTGAAAGAAATCAAATACGAATATATCGTTGCATATATGGAGGTTTTCAAATTAGGCATAATCCTCAAATTTGGCATCTGTAGTATCTCATGACATCACAGCACAATGACCAATTGACTTTTTTGTAAGTTTAAACGCTTTGTGTCGTGTGGAATACACTTGGTACACTATGGGAAGATGTTTTACAACACCTCGTTTCGTGGGATCATACGTCAAAAGAAGGCGACCATTAGTTAATTACCTAAATCGAACATAACGATAAAATGTTACGGACAAACATGATAACATAAATGACCGTCAGAACAGATATTTATAATGCATTTTGGAATGGGGCGACCAATTGTGACAAGCCATGACAAAAGAAGAGTATTCTAAAACATAATGGGGCCGTATGCGTGAACTGTATACAGACGAACTGTCTGTCAATCGATGTATCCGATTTTGACATTAGTAGCATGATTTTAGTCAGAAACGGTCATTTTGGTCTAAACAAATCTAAATTGAATGAATTTACACAAGAGAAAAACGTCATGAGTTTTTCAGACTTTCAGACGCCGTTCCGATCGACAGTGACATCAGGCATTTCAGTCCGTTCAGACATTTTGTTTACCAACTTATTATCTCACATATACAAATATTTCTAAAATTGAATAAGAAATATCGTTTACAGGTGCGTTTTTTAAATACAATAAGAAAAAACCATGTCAAGAAAGTCTACGCAAGCAATTTTTGGGAATGATATAACGATTTCCGTAACATACTACCGTACAAGGAAACTTACAACTCTGACACCACACTTGGATAAACTTGACTAATATCAATCTAAAATCATTCACATTGACAGTGTTGTCATGCTGATGGGCTTGATATTTTATATTGAATCCAGCCTTGGTCTTGTATGAAAACTGATGCTTTCAAAACTGGTTTTCCTTAGCGTGCTACAATAATAACAGACGCAAAAATGACAGGAAAAACAATCAAAATTACATGAAATCAAAATCAGGTTTTTTAATTGAAATAATAATATATGTTCGAAAAGTATTTAGAAGCATCTTTTACGTTAAGTTTTATTGTATTAGGTGGTAGATGTTTTGGCTAAGAAGTAACGGAGGGCAGTGATAGTACTAGCCTTGTTCCCGAGCTCCCCAAAAAAATGCAGAATAAATTCAACGATTAAAATTGAAATGTTTTAAGATTACTTCTGCTAATAGTTAGATAAATGTTACGGCTTCATCCAGTTTTATCCAATTACACACATGAAATCAATGTCACCCACTGCAGCAATAACATAATCTTTGAAGACATATTAGAAATAATGAATTTCTTAAATACACTTTTAAATCCGAAAGCTGAGATTATTATTTGTTGGAAATGTTGACAAGATGGTCAAAAGACATATGACACATACTAGATTTGTCATATAAATGACAATCGATAACGGACGGTCAAAACATTTATTGAAATTAACCAAGTAAAAGAACGAAAACGATATATTTATTTAACACCTTTTTCATTAAATAGTATGTAACAATTTTGGATATTGTATTTCTATATTCTGTATTCTATTCATTTTGAGAACAGCTAACGATTTTTTTTTCAGCCTGGATAATCAACATAAATATGAAAAAATCTAAATATATATTTAGATATGATTTGAAATATGAAGTTTGTTTTTCTTTGGTCAATTAAGTTGTGTCAGTGTAGAAGGCATTGCAAAACGATCTCGGAACCTACTGCAAGCTTAAATTTATTACAACATATGTACTGACCCTTTTAGAATATGAGTTTTTTTTTTCGAAACACACTGCAGATAGCATTTTATGAAAATTTATATCTAACAATAAAAAACAGACAGCAATAGTTCATTTAGTGTCCTTCAACTAGATTTAATTTTCTAGCGTACTGTTTTCATAATACGACACATAACATTTCTATTAGCATTCGACTTTAATATGTCCTTCCTGTGAACATTATGAATGCATATTACAAAAAAACATCAATTACATTCTAACTGAATTTTGTTTTTCTAAAAAAAATGTGTAAAAGATTTGATGAATTAAGGTACATTAGGATGGTGCAATCAATGTAAGTATGATTGATTGATTTTAATTTGAATATGACTATAAGTATGAGCAAAATATCTTATTGATACGGGTAAGGTTTCCATTAATATCATTTTGTATCCATAACAACCCCTCGTTGCATTATTTGTTGCCATTTACTTAATATTAAACAGAAGCGATGATATTTTTTTTTCGTTTCTTTTAAAGTCAATTTTTATTTAGTTTGTAGTTCATTCAATCGTATAACGATAATGCACGGTAAAATTTTGGGTGCGATGGGCACACATTATACTGCTTATATTGTGTATTCAGTAATACTTACAGCCAAAATATGTTGGAGCCTGAAATTTAAAATCAACTTTTGAAAGCTGAAAGAAACGATAAGACTGTAATTTTGAATAAAACCTATCTACTTGGAAAGTTACACACAATGAGAAATGTATATGCACTATAATACAACACACCATTGATGGCAACGTAACATAACTCAATAATAGGTCCAAATATGACATCACAATCTGTAGATCCTTTACCATCGTAATAAATGATATATTGTCCAAGTTGATTACAAGGTATAGTCTGGATAGTGTATGGAAGACCAGGATTACGATCATCGTCATAACATAGATAACCATCAGGTGGAATAGTTGATATATTTGTCACATATAATTTAAATCCACTCATCCGATGAGCATCTGAAAGAAATCAAATACGAATATATCGTTGCATATATGGAGGTTTTCAAATTAGGCATAATCCTCAAATTTGGCATCTGTAGTATCTCATGACATCACAGCACAATGACGAA